GATATTATTCGTGATAACCCCGCTTGTCTGATAAAGAGGTAATCGATGCGAGAGTACCTATCGTGAATTGCGGAGTAGTATATAAAGTCTTTCACGGAAGGGTTGAGTGTTCTCCAGCAATCGGCCAGGTCCATTTCGCCCAGGGTTCTCCGGATTGCTCGTAAATGTAGTTGTGAAATGCTGCTGTGCCCCGTGGAGGAGTCCAGAATGGGGTCCAGTGGGACATTGAAGTCGCCTCCGAGGACCAGGATGCCCTCTGAGAAGTCATTCAGTTTTGCCAGGGTGCTTTTCAGGAACATTGCTTGTCGTTTGTTGGTGACATAAATGTTGGCAAAGGTGTATAGTTTGCCTGCTATTGCCCCCTTCAGAAAGAGGTATCTGCCTTGTGTGTCAGTAACGGTGTCCAGTACCTGGAATTCCAATTCCGTGTAGAGCAGTATAGCTACCCCTGCCTTCCTTGCCGTGGGGTGGTTGCAGAAATGGTTTGTCGGATACGATTTATTTTGAAGTGTAGGCGTTGCGCCGGATCAAAAGTGCGTTTCCGGTAGCATCGCAACCGACGTGTGTCGTTTCTTAAGCTCGCGCAGGAGGTGAGTGCCATCAAGGAAGCCATATGTGACGAGAACGGCTGCACGGCATCTCACTTTGGACAGGTGTGAAATAATAGCTGTTATTGCAGTCATCCCTCAGGAAGGGAGTTGGACGGTATGAGCATGTGGATCTGGGAGCTATTGGGGCAGATTACACAGAAAAAGTTTATCCCGCCATGGAGGTAGTGGAGGCAGTTGTGTGTCCACTTCCACGGCCCATGAGCCACAGCGCGCAGTCGTTCACTACATGAGATGGTGTCAGAGGGTAGTCCCATCGGTTGTGCCCTGTTCCCGAAAAGTGATCTTGTAGGCAGTGTTCACAGCTGCTCCCATAAGTGTGTGAAGTCCACTAAGCAACAAGGGTACATATATCGCTGCATCGTTGTTTTCCCTAGGTAATGGCTGGGGTCCCCGTCCCAAAAAAAAAAAAAGGGGGGGGGGTACAGTATTGGAGCAGTCCTCCACCCCCGAGTACCTCCGGGATGTGCGGTGTAGTCTTGTTGCAGAAGTAGTCCATATTCTCCCCAAAGTTACCATCTATGAATTCACCAATCTTTACGGGGTGAAAGCTCGTAGGCATTGTGTCGCCCAAGCGATGACTGAACATTAGAAGGAAGTTCAGGAGGAGCAAAAGGAGTCAACGATGGAGTCAAATTGGTGTCTGAGTGTGTCTACAAGGTGCAGCTCTAAGGTTTCGCTATTATTATTAGATGGGGAGATAATACTCCACTTGTCGCTTACAGCATACACCCTAACCAGGTTTGTACAAATGCGTTCTTCGGATTCATAGGTGTGGTTTCATCCCATGGTCACACCTGGTAGCTTAAGGTTAGGAGGCAGCCGCAGGTGGGGGTGAGCAGTCTATGGCAGCTTGTACGGTGGGGAGGGGAGGAAAGTCGGTCTAGGGGGGATCAGACTTAGGTGTCATGGTAGGTCCTTGGGTTTACATCAATGGAGTAGCTGGGACCAGGGATACGGGCACGGGTTCCCCATCTCTGGGGGTTGGTACTCACTCGGCCTGGCCTCCCTGATCCATGCGTCGCCTGGGGGGCTGCCTCTGAGGGGATCCGTCCCTGCGCCTCCGTGGAGCTCTTTGATGTCGCGGACCTTGTCCAGCGGGTCCAAGGACCCAGTTCGTGACCGGGATAGGTGGCAGCTCCAGGGTTTCTAGAAAGCGTGGTATCTCCGCCGGCCATCTCGCTGATATCCAGTTGTCATGGTGCCAGGCCAGCAACGCGAAGGGGAAGCCCCATTTGTAGTCGATGTGGCGTTCGCGTAAGGCCGTCGTAACCGGCCTTAGAGCTCTTCGGGCTTCAAGCGTGAGGGGAGAAAGATCATTATAGAGAGAGACCTGAGAATTACGATAGGTCCAGTCTGGGCGTTCGCGGGCCTTCCTCATAATAGATTCCTTGACGGGGAAGGAGTGGAGGCAGCAGATGAGATCCCTCGGCCCATCTTCAATGGATCGCGGGCGCGCAGCTCTGTGTGCCAGTTCGAATTCAAAATGTTGGGGTGCCTCAGCTAGTAGCAGCATATTAAAAAGGCCTGACAGAATCTCCGCCGCATTTTCCTCTCGTCCTGTCTCCGGGACCCCCCTAACCCGGATGTTGCACCTGCGACCTCTATTATCGAGGTCCTCCAGGTGTCTCCTCATGTCGAGGAGCATGTCTCCATGCCGCGAAATCGCCAGGTCAGTTGATGAAATCATGGAGGATTGGGTCTCCATCGCGTTTTCCAGGGCCTCAATGCAGGTTCCGTGAGCGGTCACTTCCGCTCTGAAGCCCGCCATCTCCGCGCGTAGGGCATCCTGTATCGTGGTGGTAAGTGTGAGCAAGTCAGTTTTAGTGGCCATAGAGGCCGCGATGGAGCGGAGTTCCTCACCTATCCGATCCAGGGCGGAGTGCTCTGTGCCTGAGGAGGAGGCAGGGGATGGTGGCGTTGAACCCGGGCCCGCCGGCTCTCCTCCGGAACCGGGGGTCGGGTGTAAAAAGGAGTCCATGAGGCCCTGAGAGGGGTGTTGTTGGGAGCCCCTCTGTGTCTGTGAGGGCTCCGTGCGCCTGTTGCGAACCATCTGTCGTCTGTAGTGGTGTACAGTCGCCGTTTAGGGGTTATGTTGGAGCGGAGCACACGGTCTAAGCAGCCATCTTGGTCAAGGTCGTGGCCACGCCCCCCACCAATGCATTTTCAACACTACTGACTCATCATCCTTCCAGACTTGTAGTAGATTTACTAAGGCTCTGGAGCTTCAAAGGGCTCCCATACATGTATCATAAATAAACCCTCAAGGACTATAGCATGCCCTCACTTACAGTCAGCACAACAGAACCGTCGGCTTAAACACACACATACCCAAGATTTGCAGAGGGGATTTTACTTGGGTTTTCCAATCTCCACCATTTACAGCATGGCACCAAACACAAACACATTGGTATTGTCACAAGGGAATCTTCCCTTAAACAAAGACTAACCATAGACTTATTGGCACCACACACCTTCGCTACCCCAAGTCTCAACTCCCTCATACCCTCCGAGGAGTTTCCTTACTATACACACCATTGATCTACCTTTACAGCTATCACTCAAGCATGGGTTGAAGCTTCGTTAAGTAAGACCAATATCATCAACACAGTAAACGGCTACCATCTACCCTACAAACTGGCACTTACATGGCATAAAATGGGCAATCCTTTCCCCGCTAAAAGCAGCTGCTGTGGCATGGGGTAAATCATGGTCAGGGTCATCAATTCGTTGTTACTTAGACAACTAAGCACATGTCATATCATCAACAAATGCCATTCATCATCCATACGATCATGGTATTGCTGGGGAACTCACTTGGTTGGCCACTTACCACATTTCTTTTACTTTCATGTAGCAGGCGGGGGTATAAATCCCTGCTGACAATTGTCTCATTTATATTCCAGGCATGTTCATCATACGCTTCCTACAGCCGCCCATACAGTCACGGCCACTCTTTCGTTCCAGAGACAAAATCATGGATTAGACATACTCATGCAGCATAGCATGCACTATCCCATCTAGCACTTTCATCCCATACTTGTAGAACGCATAACACAGCTATTCACCTGGCTTTAAAGAATCTCATTGGAACACGACATAGCTCAACCTGTGTCATAACATTTCTCCTAGGTTTTGCTTCACCTTAACCTAAAACCATCTCACACACCATTAATTATATATTTTACAGGCATTCAACAACAGAGGATGACCTACGGCCAAAACTACCATAACTTCATGCTATCATACCAGACAAGAATATACTATACCATCCCCCCACGTTCCACTCAGAGATTACCAATAGCCATCCAACTTTTCCATCCTTATCGGACCTATTAGAGCTACAACCATTCAATTATACTACCAAGTATGTGCTAAAGCCCATCTCCTTTCTGTCCTATCTCCATTTTGTAGATTGCTATGACCACCCCCCCCCCTACTACTAGTTTAAAATCTCCTCAAACCTTCTAGCCATTCTATCCCCCAGCACTGCAGACCCTCTCCCGTTTAGGTGCAATCCATCACCACTATAAAAGTGGGCCCTCTTTATTTACAGGCCTACCGTATCGTTGGTCTCGGCACACCGACTTGCTCCCTTTATACTATCCTACACTTATGCTGGAACCTTACTCTATATACGGCTATTTAATATATATGTGTGTAATTTAATTATAAGTGTATTTTTATATTAATATATGTATATATTAATATAAAAATACTTAGTATGACATTATATATATATGATATATAGACATAGTATGTAGATATAATATATGTCTATATATATATATGTGTGTATATATATATATATATATATATATATATATACACACACATACATACACACATATATCATTGTTGTTGGTTTTTTAATTAACATTAAAGGACCACTATAGTGCCAGGAAAACATATTCGTTTTCCTGGCACTATAGTGCCCTGAGGGTGCCCCCACCCTCAGGGTCCCCCTCCCGCCCGGCTCTGGAAAGGGGAAAGGGTTAAAAACTTACCTTTTTCCAGCGCTGGGCGGGGAGCTCTCTGCTTCCTCTCCTCCTCTTCTCCTCCTCCTGGACTGAATGCGCACGCGCGGCAAGAGCTGCGCGCGCATTCAGCCGTCGCATAGGAAAGCATTTACAATGCTTTCCTATGGACGCTTGCGTGCTCTCACTGTGAAAATCACAGTGAGAAGCACGCAAGCGCCTCTAGTGGCTGTCAATGAGACAGCCACTAGAGGAAATAGGGGAAGGCTTAACCCATTCATAAACATAGCAGTTTCTCTGAAACTGCTATGTTTATGAAAAAATGGGTTAACCCTAGCTGGACCTGGCACCCAGACCACTTCATTAAGCTGAAGTGGTCTGGGTGCCTAGAGTGGTCCTTTAACATCTTTTTTTTTTTTTTTTTACACAAGCGTGGAGACTGCCTGTCAGCACAGGCAGTCCCGCTGCAGGCAGACACTAGGACACCTATTGTGACCATGTGATCACTCTGAGTGATCACATGGTCCCAGGGGTCCTAATCCACCATGGGGAGACTGTCTGGGCTGCAGGCAGTCTCCCCACACCGGGAACAATGCCGATCACCGCCGGGGGAATGATGACGATCAGCCTCACTCCCCAGCGGCAGAGGGAGACCCAGGAAGGGGAGACAACCGGTCTTTCTCCCCAGCAGCAGTGTGTTCTGCAGGGAAAGGT